AGAAAAAATTTTAGCAAACTGGGTAACAAAAACTCGTGACAGATTTTCTAGAAAGGGAGCGTGAAATAATGCAGTCTGGATGTCGTAGTGCCTCTTAGCCTCGGCAGTGTCTAATTTTTTATCGTCACCATTTCTCTAATATTCATGAAAGACGCTTCCATTCATGGTTCAGCTTCCAAGCTGATAGATGCTGAAGAGTTTACACACAAATATGGAAAAGAAAAACATACTGATTGACCAACATACATTTGAAAATAGTCGGAATGGTATGGTCTGATTCCAAAATTTAAAAAATAAAAGAATGCCAATGAAATCACTAATAAAATTGAGTGCATTTTTTTATTTTTTGTTGTCAAATTTTTTGGCCGACATCCAAGCTGTCAAAGTGAAAACAAAGTAAAATGTAAGTTTTTGTTAGCAGCTGTCAATCAGTAGGCCGACGGCTCTGTCCCACTTTTTTCTCCGCTTTCCTTTCCTTCATGTGTCGATTTACCCCACTGAGTAAGAGACCACAAAGAACCATTTGGCATTCACGTGCCTTATGCTTCTGCGGTTTATGATTTAGTTGCTTGGTTTTACGATACTAGATAACGTTTGGGGGCTGTCCCGTTTTTTCCAACAGCTATGTAAAGTGGCGCCTCGTTGTGCAATCACACACTCATCAGATACGCTAAAGTGTAAGCAAGCTGTTGATCACTAAAAAATAAGTGGAGGCGCCTCTCCGATGGCGCCTTACTCTTTCTTTTTTAGTGATTTTTCGAGTCGAGTTGAGGATAGTTGTAGAGTTCAGTCTGGCTCCGATTCACTTCAAACATCAGCATTTACCTTTGCGAAATGATCGTTGGGTCCCGCTATTGGTATGAGTGGTATTTAAAGTCATAGCACTCCTTCACATTCACATTCCTTGGAAGTTCTCGGCATTTTCCTATGCATCATCACTTTCGCAAACATACATTTACTGCGTCACCATTCCTTTCACGGAGATTTTGCAAATACTTGCTCTTTACTGTGCATTTAACTACTATTATCTAATGAAATGGCTCGTTTACTTCGTCCTGAATTCCTATTACGCGAAATTACCATTGAGTGTTAAGCAAAGCTATAATATTTCCAGGAGATATATTGTTAAATTGCTTGAATTTTTCCCATGCTGAATCTGAAGTCTTATTTTTCTCTTATTTTTGACTTTCGCGGGGGACGGAAGAACGGTTTGATGAATACGGTAGTAGGTTTTCAAGCTAATGTTTGCGGTTACACATTTTCCTGGATAAAATCATCCATCAGCGTGTAATGATCGTTGGTTGGTTATTGATGTGTGGTAAAACATTGTAGCTCGTCATCTTCAATCATCCTTTCTTCTTCCCCCCCCCCCTCCTCTCCCCCTTTCGAAAAGGGTTTGCGATATTTTTCGAAGTGATTTTCATCAGTCATCAAATTGCCAAATGACTTGTTCTTGTAAGCAGTTTTTTCCCGCTATATTTAAATTCAATTCCTTTTGTTGCTAAAGGTTTTTGGGGTCTCGAAAGGCATCTCAAAATTTCTGAATGCGTTCTCCTCCCCCGCCCCCTCTCCCGGCATCCTTTCCGGAAAAACTTTTTTGGACTCCAAATCTTGGTTCTTTCTGTTTTTAGCTTCAGCTATGTTCGGGAGCGCAAGTAATTACATTTCATGCACTTCCATTCTGGAAGATTTCTATGCCATTGCACATATCGTGAAAATTGCCGCAAATGCACACATTAGCAAAGACTAGCCGACTGTACGGTAGCTTTGGTCATTCACTTACCTCAGCATCATCCTCATCTCTAATACTTTTGCTCGATATCGCCACCCCTGCGAATGCAAAATCATGCGAAGATAACAAAACATGGGAGCTAGAGGTTTTGATGATTACCCTTATCAGCAGATTCTGCGGCAAAGGCCAGAGGGCAAAGTATCGGCAGTGACGTCGTGTACATCAATGCATTCAAATGGCAAGCGAAAGAATGTCTCCTCTATCATCATAATCTCCAATTCAACCTTGGAGACAATATGTTTTCTGCATCGTAAACAATGACGTTCACTCCTTTGACACTTCTCTGGGCTCGCACTTTTTTTCGCTAGCTTCGTAGCTATCATGTGATTGCTATTTATTAAACAAATGAATGACACTTCATTCAGACCCGTTGAGTAGAAAAATTCATTGATCTTGTTTCTAGGATTGCATCGAGCTAGATTTCGTCGATGCAATGAGTATTATTATCAAAATAGATCGCTTCTGAATCTGAATCGCTTCTCGCTTTAAGCACTGCAGCGCAACGAAACCTCCAGGCTGTCAATCTGTCAAATTTTTTTTGGAAAAATTCCAAAAGCGATTAATACGCAAGACTACTAGATAACCCCCAATATAAATAAAAGTTTTTATGAATTTAAATAGCGAGAATTTTGTTCTGAATAGCTAATAGCATAGCGGAAATCCATTCCTATAGATACAATAGCTATATCGAATAGTTCACGCATAGGCTCTGAGCTATGAACAAAGGACAATTTTTCATCTAACGCTTCCATTAAATATGTATGATGGAAAAGCAAGTGCAATTTTTCTTAATTTCTAGCAAGTTTCTTCATTATTTAGGTGCACCATGAGCGCATTAAAAATAAAATAAAATAGTCTCATCTTCGACTCGTGCACGATTTTCACCTATGCAGTGAATTTCTGACCTTTTTTTTTTACGTGTCGCAGGTGCTAATTCAGCGTCCAGAATCAATATTCATGCATAAACAAACAAACATGATGAAATACCTTTTACTTTTTCATCAGGTGATTGCCAATCTAAATTATGATTCGTTTCGTAATAACAGCATGTTGTATCCCATTCTTTACCTTTGCATTACATAGCTTGAGTGGGAAAACACTGTTTACTTTAAGTCTTTCATTTCATTTTGAAATGTCAGTCACACTTACTCCTTGATCTTCGGAAGAGGTACTTCTATGGATGAGTACAAAATAGTGCCAGATACTTCTATTTCAAGGCTCTGCAATCCACCTCTACTTTACATTTTCATGCGATTGTCTCCGATTGAAGACTCCTTAACAAATCTTTTCTACTAACATAAATTATACTGAATGAATCCTCACGGATGGTCCTGATCTCAGAATTTGGTAACGAGTACTCATAACTTTGCATGCGGTTCAGTCCACATATTCTCCTCTTGCAAACTACCTCGCCTTGTGGAGTTCCTCGGTGGCAACTTACAGATAAATTTATACTTGAGTATGTTAATGTCAGGAGCTCTTTTCCTTACTATTCTGTTCATAACAAATTATTTTTCATTGCCTTTTTACTGGGAATGGTCTACAAATCATCATCATTCGTATTATCTCTCGTCATGTATTTGGGCCGCATATCCGATATGTTGAACGTCGTAATATCGCCTTGATTTGATAATTGATTGCTAAAAATTGTCTCATCATACAGAATCTAATTCTTCACAAATTTTCCAAAAACTTGACCTTTTCAGTCTCAATCAGTTGGCCTGAGTTGTAATGTTTTAAAAAAAGAAAACTTTTCATCCTTCTATGCATATGAAGGGAAAAAATCAGTGAATCAGCTTCCCATCGAAATAATGCGTTGGATGTATTTGATGCGACTAATTATGTAGATGTAAATGATAAAAGCAGCTTGAGATAGTTACAAGATGTGTACTATGATGTGATATACATGACTAAAGGACATTTGGAGGATTAATGGTCAATTTTTGGTAGAAAACAAGGTGTCTGTTCTATGCTTGCGCTACGTCAACTTGATTTTGTTTCGAAGTAAACCGTAATAAGCCTGATTTTCTTTGTTTCGAGCCAACGAGTATAAAACTGAAGGTCTCAATGTCAAAAGAAGGGTCTCACTGAGTAAATCCGTATTTTAACGAAAAGGGATAACAAAGCTGCAGAATCATAGTGAGTTTGAACTTTATTGTATTTCATTTTTTAGCAGCCATCTTTTGGCATATTCGTATTCTTGATTGCTGTAATTATGAGTAAGTCTTGAGGATCATAAGTAGTAGAGTAGCATAATTTATTTGCTGTGGGTACTCGTTCAAATGCAGACCAAGCAGGTATGTTTATACGACTCTCTTGAATATTATATCATCTCCTCATATATCTTTCCATGCATATGAAGGGAAAGAAATAAGTGAATCATTTCTCATACCCGGACTCATGTGTTGAAAATGTGTTTGTGCATGAATAAGTTGATCATCTCGGGCATATTATACGTTTAGCTAGAATACACAGATTGTCACAAGTTCCCCTATGATGTGATAGACGTGGTTAAAGGCCATTGGGAAGATTAATGATCATTTTGAGATAGAAACAAGAGTGCACAAGCTGTTTGCTCTTTGTTCTTCCCATGTGGCTCATCTGCGTGACAACAATATTATGACATCAAGTCAACGGATGGCCTTTAATGGAAGAATCTTAACGAGTAAATACCCATTTTGATGAAAAAGATGGCAATCCTGCAAAATTATTCTGAAATTGGACTTTTGGCACTTCATTTTTTAGCAGCCATCAATTTTGCATATTCGCATTCGTGGTTGGTTTAAACGCACAATTATCTCACATTTGAAAGCTTTTTAATTCAAGTGCTGCTTTCTTATGCTTGGTTTTCTCTCGAGAGCATGGACCGATGACGTTTTGTGATTGTGTTTCGCTTTTGCTTATCGCTTCCAAAGCACTAGTAGTTGCTTCCTGTCCTAGCAACGTTGAGTACTTTCATTGTGCTGCATAACGTCATCTTCATCATTTCTTGTTTTATTTGCCTCTTCGAAGATCATATGTCTTCGCATTTTTTATGTTCTTTTGCAAATCACTTGGTCTTGAGAATATCAAATTGCGGAAATTGCTATGTAGAAAAAGTGATAGTAATTTGATTCGTACAATTTTTATTCCATCGTCACATGTTCTCCTTATGTCCATCACAAATTCTCTGTTATCCTATTTTTGTCCACGAATTGTTGTTTTGTAGTTCTAACCCATTTCGTTACCAGTAATGTTTTCAGAAATTTGATGGAATCTTTAGTGGAGCTTCCAGGACAAAGAGTATGTCGTGTCCTGAGCAGCAACGAAAAGAAGGGACGTTTCACAGTGAGTTTTCCTTCAGATCTATGGGTGCAACAAATTTGATCTACGCTCGTCCATGCCCCGCAATTTCCTTAGGAACTGAGTTAATGTGATAGATTTTCCAATGCTGTTGTTTTGGAATGCGAAAGCAGCAGAAGGCTAGAGAAAGGAAAGATTTGTCTCATTTTCCTTTACAATAGATAGCAATTGACAGTTATGCTTTTAACTCAAAAGAAATATGATAAATAGTTTCTATGAAAAATCATTAATCCCCTCTTCCAGTCATCAGCCGCCACCTACACTTTTTCTCGTCGATCATCTCTCTCCAACCATACGTCCAATTAAGCAGCTTTACAATTTTTTGGGGAGCAAAAAAATTCAAATGGATTTTCACTGCTTCCCACATTATAATTTAGATGATTACAAAAATTTGACTCAAAAGCCAAACTCAAATGAATAATGGCAAGTAGGAGAAAAACCAAGTTATTCGCATCTCAATCATCTCTACACTAACTTTATCTGCTATTTTTCTTGTCCTTTTTTCAAATAAATATATTCTGCACCATATAGCTATCAATAGCAGATTATGCTAATTCCACACTTAAAAAGAGAATTTGATTATGTAATAAATCCGGATTACTCAGCTTAATTATAGGTCGAAAATTTGAACCATGTCCGTTGTGCCCTTATCTCTGATAAGGAAAAACTCTGTCTTCTGCAAACGGCAACCACATCCGCACATTTTGATGATGAACATAAATTGGTGAGTTTTTAGCTCATAGAAATTGGACAATAACATCAAATTTTCAAGTCTGAACTAGTTTTTCAGAACTCCCTTGCATAATAAAAAAAAACTTATTTCCGAAGTTCACAGAATACCTTTTACTAAAACTCTTTGCTTTATAAGATTTGATATTGAGAATTTAGTTGAAGTGGCTACCTGAATGTGGAAATCTGTGTAGAAATACGCAGATTTCCACATTTCCACACTTTCAACCAAATTTTGATCACATAATTGACTTGATTATAGGCAGAAGCAAGATTGACATTGAGTATGAAGGAATCTCCGAGAAAAACATCTGAAGACCATTATGTTATGCAAGTGATCGAGGTAATTTTAATTTTTTCAATCAAGACCTTGACTTTTCCAATAAAAATTGTCTTTTAAGACTCATATCGATGACTGTGAATGTTTTAACTTCGGTGATCCACATGTGATAATTTGTGCAGTAAGCACAGAAGAAAAGTTTAGCTCTTTGGATCGGATAGCTTCCATAAGGAAAAAGGTAATCTCTACTTCTACAGTATAAATTCTACATGTTCGAATTCCAGCTGGAATCACATGAATGGGTGTGTCCGATCATTCTCCTCGCATACCATTCGGAGCATGAAAGTACCATTTCTTATGATGTAATGAAGGAACTCAAAGAACTGTCAAGAAATCCAAAAATATTCCGTTGTATGGAGGCTACTGCTTTGAACAGAGTCAGTTTTACTCATTATCTGGGATTTACTCATGTCCTATAGGTCCTTAGCCTTTTTACAACAATTATGGCCCTTATGCTAATCATTTACTAGGACGCATATCATTCAAGCTCATTTTTGTTTCTGGAGAACGTTTACCAACCAACTTAGAAGGCATCCCTGCAAAATTTAGTTTCTGAATACCGATAACACATCCCTTTCTTTTTGGAAAAAATGAGTGGAAGATAAAACTTCAACAAAAGCGCTCAAATCAGATACTGCATCAATCAGCAAGAATGGTTCACACCATTGCAAACCAAAGGATTTTCGCGAAAAAATACAGTATCTAGTTGGCCAGCCCGCTGACTTTTTAAAATTTTTAATGGTGGTTTTCTTGAGTCTAGCTGTGATGGTCCTGAAATTTTTTTCAGTCGAGGGGCATGGCATTAGCTAATCCCTAGCCGAACTTTTCGGATATTTTCCAAGTTTTTGCAAGGTGTAAATGGCAGCAGTTCTCATACCCTCCCCCCAAATTTCTTTACGACTTAACCCAAAAACTTCAATCCGACACAAATCATAATCTATGAGGAGAAACAAGTCACTGATATAAAAAATAAACAATGGAATAATACCCAACAATTCAACGTATAAATTTTCATGCATTTGTATTTCTGCGCAGTCGCACATTACAGTTGAATTCTTATATGCTCTGAAATATATTGAAAACTGTACAGTATTTCTTCTAAAGGCGATATTTCGGTATAAAATAACTCTCTCCTAGAATCTTCTCCGTCACTGCCTTGCAATGGCCCTCCTTGCTGCTCGACCATTCTTGGCTGCGGCTCGAGCCGAGAAGGACGTTTGTATTGATGATATTAATGACGATGGTGACAAGAAAACCAGAACGCAATCTATAGAAGGAAAACCTCGCAAAGATTTCCTGCATGTGAAGCATTCCTTTTCAAAGTCATGTAGAATACAATAACCAACTGTTTTTTTTTCTTTGTATTGCATTCAGTTCGGGTATTGCTGTACGTGCAAGTTTTCTGATAAATCCATTGATATATTGATGTGATGTGATTGCTTTATTAGTATATTTACAACTCATATCAAAATAGAGGTGCGTACAGTAACTTAAAAAGGCGGGGAAAACAGCAAGTTAGGAGTAAAGGCACAATAGCAACAAATAGATTGATATAGACAGCCAAAACTGCAAATATATACAAATAACAACAATCAAATTATCTGCGAGATTTTTCTAATCCCTGATCTCTGGTTCTCTGTATTTACATGTGGGCAACTGCCATCGAAGAGAAGTTCTGACATGGAGGAGCAAGCTGTTATGAACTGCCAAGGCCAATGATCTTGCACAGATGTTTGTCATGACGGAAATTTTCGAAACATCTAAGGACCACTTTTCTGGCTATGGATTTTAAAGAAGGGACACCGCTGAAAAGACATAAATTGAGCTGTAGACGATTTATATCGAAAAAGCCCCGCGTGATTATGTTACCAGAATTTTTTTTTTGTGCGAGAGCTATAATTCTGCTTACCATCTGTTCATCACAGCAAATGAAACATAGTCCTCTTGAAAGTGTCCTTCAGGATGCTTCTCCACATTCAAAACAAGAGCATTGCCATCTTTCCTCACGTCCACAAGGAACATTGTGTCTGCGATAGGATACTCCAGCTCGTGCCATCTGTAATTTTGGTATATGAGCCCCGCCATTTTGTAACAGATTCTCACCCCTCATCATCCTTAACGTAAATTTTCACAGTATTCTCCATGGCTTTTTCTGTTGTCACCCAGAGTTTCCCACTTCGATGCACTGTTCGAACTAGGCAAACAGGATGATTCGGATCATCAAAGAAAGAGTCTGGATGATCTTCTGCTGGGGAGACCCATGAAACCTGAAGAAGCATTTTGATGGCCTTTGCTTTCACCCAGTCCAACGAAGCGAGCAGTACCTCAGCAGTGTCGAGGTTTGCAGAAACAATGAGACCGGAAAACTCGTCCTCTTCAAACTCATCAGCCACAGAGTGAAAGCAGTAGAGCATTCGACCTTCTTGCCAAGGTTCACTGCGCGACCATGGACCGCTATCGCATTCTATGTCTAATTTTGTCTAATTACTTCTTTATAACCCAAGATCGTGGAATGAATTATTCAGATTGTCAAACAAGGAAGATATTAGTACAAAAGCTTTTCTTAAAAAGAATGCATCCTGCAAGATCGCCTCCTTCATGCTCTATTTCTGAAAAAGAAGTGCTTTCTCATCATCCTTAACTTTATGCTAGTTAATGCTTTTATTAATTTTCGTGGCAGGTACAGTTCTAGCCTAGCACCATCCTAGAGGATGTGAAGTTAAGTGATACTCGACATACATTTCAATGCCCCAAAGATACAATACCTGTTTTCTTGACATTGCATTTCACATCCATCTCAATCACACTTATTCCTCCTTCGTAAGGAATCACCATCGTCACGCCCTTTGCACTCCTATAAATAACGAATTCACTCTTATTCGCCGTAACATATGGAAGTAAATACCTTGTGCTGAATCCAAAACTTCCTCTATGGATACCAGTTGCGCTCGGAGATTTTCCTAGTGTGAGCTGGGATTGTCCTATGTCGATTTTGTGATGCTCATGATCGATGGTGACCGCATGGAACTGAAATATTATCTATTTATTTATTCATTTAACTATGAAGTCGATATGTCGATAACAATGTCTGATCAAAAATTTTAATTAAAAATAATAATTAATTGTGGAAATTTAACTGCAACTACTGAAGGATGAGATAGCGATTATCCGAGGACTAAAGTTACTCGCTCACTGCTGGGACTGTTTTGCTTACTCTTCGAACTGTCTTACTTACTGATATATCTGCTCCATCGTCCATGACGGCTATTCCTTTACCATCGCATGTCTCATAGAATTCCGCAAGGTCTGGGGTTGTAGAGCTCTTATAATAACTAAAAAGCATTGAAAGCTGTTCTAAAAGTTTGGTGGCTCCGTTGGAAACAATATGGCTTATGTGCAACCTGCGAGTTCCACTCCAGAGATCGAATACGAGTAGTTTATTTTGCAAAATAAATGGGGAGAATCCAGTTTGTTTTTCTACAATACAGTACACATACCGATCACCAGTAGACATAAACCTCCAGTTAAGATCGGTTTGTTCTAAATATGCACTAAAGAAGTGATTTTTTAAGGTTACAACTATGAACTTACCTCCAAATTCAGAAGGATCACATTTTCTCGAAGAATGTGGATATATGTATTGAATCCACATCTCCAATACAAAGATAGCTATGAAATAGAAAAGACAGCACTATGTAACAGCAAAATCAAGCAAATGTTTGCCGTTTGACCCACAAACCTCGTCATAGCCGAAGAGATCTGTGAATTTTTGCCTCCGGTGCATCTCAGCCACTTAAAGTGAGGTCACTCCTTCAAATTGATAAATGAATGATATCAGCAAGTAACGCTGATGTATATCCAGTGAGGTTTTTGGTCTCAAACATGAAGTCAGGCGGGATTTGACTCTGCACTTCTTTTTACAAAATTTCTTTTCAACGTGGGTCTTCCTGCAAGATAACCTTTTTTCTAGAAAGGGCTGCGAATGAACAAATCTGCTCAACATTATTTTTTCAGCGGTTGAATTGAAAAAATTATTAATAGTCGCCATGAGATTTATCGAACACAATTCAATTATGTGCCTTGAAGCTAATTTTGAATCACTAAACTGGATGTTGTAGCTGCCATTGAGCCCAAAAGCCCTAAACAGCCTCATTACCAAAAACAAAATAATTTAGATATTTTTCTTCTAATCTTCTGATACTGAGCTTTGATCGTGATTCGTGTGTCCGATACTGCGCAAATATTTCTATTCAACAAAAAATGTAGAGCCAAATCTTCACCTCCAGTTCGCAAATTCAGACTCAGGAAAGACTTGCAAAAGACTGGGAACAAATTAGAAATGAGGCGTATTTGACTTTTATCATTAATGATCCAAAAAATTTCATTCGCAGATAAAAAATGTCATTCGCAGATAGTCTGGAAAGCAAAAAAGTTATTAGGTGTGACTAAGGCTTGCATTTTTTCGAAATTTCTATGCTGCACTTCTTGAAGATACCCCGATGAATTTTAGCATGCGCGTTGGCATCTTTAACTAGAAATTATCGCTTTGAAGTCTACCGTTTTTTAAAGCTGATTGTTTCGCTCATCAAATAAGGCCCAAAGATGTGATTTATGCTTCATAAAATCTTAACATCGGGATCAAATTTAGGGTATTCCCTTTGGTGTTCAGTGAGTGCCAAATGTCAAAACCTTGATTTTTCGGCTCGATCAGAGAAACAACAAAGGATTTGGTACGTTCATGGCAGAACCCTTGTGTATGTCAAGAGCCGCGATTTTCATTGCCAGATGGGCAACAATTAGCACATAAGAGGAAGTTGTAACATTTTAAAAATATCTGAATTTTAGAAGCACATTAAAATCAGTTGCAAACAGCAATTTTGAGGGTCAAAAACCATGAAAATACATTTAAGAACAATTGTAAATTCGTTCCGTTTCCCAGCAGAGGCCACCAAACTCAGCAAGTGGTAGCCTTAGACAGGCAATAGGTCAACACATATTATCTGGTACTTTTTGAAGACTCGAATAACCTAAATTGGAGTTTTGACTTGATGACTGCCGCAGAAATTGCGCCTCTTGACCACCGTCCCCACCTCGTTTGCTATACGCATACATGGTATAAATATTCTACCAAAAATGAGCTGGCAAATCTTAGTTTGTGTCTTAGTCTTAGTTAGCTATGATTTGTGGTGATTACGCTCCAACTAGCAGTAAATCACGTGCCTGCGCAAGCGAGAATTTTCCTACAATTGTTCAGCCGAATTTGATGTTTTATTTCCAAAATTGTAACCGTGCTTACAATTTTCAGCTGTTTTTAACAGCTCCATCAGCGAAGCCATGTGCACGATACTGTTGACCAGCGCAGGAAGACAGCAAGAAAAAAATCTCGCTGAATTCGTGATTCCAGGCGAGTGAGGCGCCTGTGTTTGTATAATGTAGCACAGCCTTGCTAGAGTCCACAGTGATTCAAAGCTAGTAAGAAACCGACATCTTAAAAAATAATTAGTAGCAACGAAAACACTCATTCTTTATTATTATTTGTAAAAACAATGCTTTTTGGCACGCTAAACTGCTGTCTTCAAGCTTGTATGCAATTGGTTCGGAATTTAGAGCATTTTGATTTGTTAGTGAAGTACTCAATTGGCTCTTCCTTGTGACTCAATTAGGCTGGAATTATCTTCGAGTACCGTAAAACAGAAGTTTTCAATTCTATATGCCATCAACAATTATCTTATGTATGGAGGTCCCGACTCCATCTGCATTCATTGATATTCAGAAGTTCACGAGTTCTATCGTTTTTTCATTTTCTATTATATTTCAAATTTATTCGTATTTTATACATTATATAAATTTCTGAAAAGCAGCAGATAGGCAGAGCTTAGACTTTATGCTGAACTGATAGATAACTTGTTTTCAATCTTAAACAAATGATTCGCGAATTTTTTGGAGCGTGGCTGTAGGTGCGCCTCCTTTTTTGGAAAGATTTTCAAAGGCAAGAAATTCTAAGAACACTCCAAATTTTGAATGAGCGAGCGTGGCTAAAGCTATGCCCACTTTTATGTTCTTTTTCAAAACTTGTATAACTGACTCAGTAATTACTTGAGCACTAAACCTGAATTCAAATGTTTGCCTTTCTCGAAATGGAAAAAAAATTTGCGATTCCATGCGAAATATTATAGCCTGTAAGTGATGTTTGGACTACTGAAAGAAATTTGTACAGATTTTGAGTTAACTAGCGGCGCTCTTTTCTTTGAACGCAGGGCGCACTTAACCCTTCGAGCATCTTTCGTATCTGTTTCTGACTTACGTAGAATACAAATACCCAATTTTCTCGAGCAATGTCGCATTACGAATCAAAATCAGAATTTCGCATCGTTGTCATCAAGATGCTTCATTTGGAACCAGGAGAGCAAAATGCATGACGCAGAACGAGAAAAAAGAGCAGAATGTGTTGGAAAACCGTCATGTAACTTCTCGCCGAATCTTTGTGCAGCTCTCTGCTTACTCAAGATGGTTTGCCAAGGTATGATTCCGCAATTAGTTATAATCACAATCACAGACGCAATAACCGGCACACGATGGAATTCATCTTGTACGGTGAAGGAGGTGAAATGGTTATCTTTTGAGCAATATTGCTGATGTAGGTGTCATATGTTTCAGCGAAGATTTGCGGTACGCTTCGACGTTTCTCCCAGTCTATTCGCTTGCCAGCAGTACTCCAACAACATGTCAGCCTTGGATACACAAATTGATAAATCAGATATTTTACCCGAGTCTGTTTATTATTTTCTTCAGGTTTTCCTTCTACTTTTTGACAAATTGGCATCCCATAATAAGTTGGACACTTTTTTTCAAGAAGTGGTATTGACAGAAAGTTAATGAAGCTGCTGTTCACAACGAGGTCGAACTTGCAAGTGTTGAAGACCAGTTATCATTAAGGTAATGTTATTGATGTCTTTATATGTGTAGCACTGGGTTGGAAGAAACGCCGCGTATTCTAAACTTCAGTGACAGGCGAAATGGGCGCCAATGGAAAACTTTCCGTTTCCGGAAATTATGATGGAGCAAACGTAACGGTGATTACTTCACAAAACTTGAAATACGATTCAATTATGTAACTCCAGGGTAACGGAAAACGAACAAAAAGTTCCACAAGAGATGGTAATATCACAGAAACTATCCGATGCGTTGGACCATGCATTTTCACTGAAGATGTGGCACTGTCAACTGAATTTGCATCCAGAGAGAAGGTTTCTCTGTTGTTTTTGCAATTTAGCAAAAATAAAATTGTTTTTCTCTTGCTTCCATTCTTATGGTCGCATGCCATCGCATTTCGCTTCAGGGGGGACTTCGTTTTTAGAAACACTAGACCCCGACCCGTGCCCTGTTGCAGCTAGATAGATAAATTGTCGGTCGTCATGTCAACCCCCCCCCCCCCTCCCCCGGCCCGTCCATGTTTGACTTCAAATATCCTTCAAGCTGGACATAACTCATTTCTTCACTTAATTTTGCATTTCCCCATTTCCCCATGCTTGGATACTCTCCATTGAATTTTAGTAATACATCATCGGTTAATCATAGTCATCATACCACTGATTTTCAGTCACCTGCTCTTTTTCACTGCGTTGAGGCTAGGCATTTCCCTTTGATTCTTGCAAAATTCGTTTCCTGTAATCAACTCAACATGCATGGCCGATATTTTATCTAAACAATAACGCTGATAAAATCAAGCTATAATTCACCTTAATTCTTCATACTTCTTATGCATACGGCTTGACATATTATACAGAGTGTCCCAAAAAGATGTGCACACCGTTTGATCGTTAATAACTCTCTTGCTTTCATGTCTTTTGCCGAGCTTGCTTGAAGTATCATTTTGTAGAGCGAGGATAAACTTAGATTTACAGTATTAAGCGAAACTCCAATTTCTTTTTGCTACTGTAGGATTACGGTATAAAACTTTCAGCATACAGCATCACTGTGGGATAAGCCTTTTGATGAAATAATTTCAAAAAAATCTAAAAAATTGTGTAGCAAGGTTTTCAGTTGTGCTGATTTCACTACATAACTTTCCATCAGTTTTTCGAGCTTTCTTGATGGCGTATTCACATTTCTGCTGAACACTGGAAAATCAGTTGTTACCCTAAATCTGAATTAACTCATGAAAAAACATTGTACTGACGTGCAGTTTTCATATTTAGAATCAGCGACTATGATTAACCCAGTTCAAGAGTTTCTGGCTTATTTGGCTTTTTTCTCAGGCAAAATACAGCTTTCCATTGCTGAAAATCCTCCTCGAAATTCCTACCGTAATTCTACAGTAACGAAAAGCGGCTGGTAAGTCCCTCCATAGTGTAAATCTAAGTTTATCCTCGCCCTACAGAATGGTAATCAAGCTTAGCAAAAGACATGAAAGCAAGAAAGTTATTAACAATCAAACAGTGTGCGCATCTTTTTGGAACACCCTGTATAACGGCCATACCAACCAAATTACTAAGCTACGTTTTGACTAAATCAAATCTCTTTCAGTTGTAAGCACATACTATTCTTTCAATGTAATCTCAATAGCTGTTTTGTGTTCGAGTTTTCCTACATTTGTGCAACGCTTGATATACTTTCACGCTTCGACAGTACTTCCTGCAGTGATTCCCTTGTGGTATCGGTACATATCAATGTCACATTTGATTTTGGGTTTTGATGCTTGTTCCCACATG